TGCACATCCAATATTCTCACAACTGTACATTCTGTAAAGACATAACCGACTGCGTTTACGTGAATACTCTCTAAACCGGACATTTAGACATAATGTTGTCTAAGAGAGCTCAATTCAGTCCTCGCGCGCTGTCTGTCTATGTGCAGGCCAGGACTGCGTTTCCCAAAAGCATCGTAAGCCTAAGTTGATCGTAGAGACCATTGGTGGCAATTGTTCTACGATCAACTTAAGCTTACGATGCTTTTGGGAAACCCAACCCAGGGCTGCACGCTTCGGGTCGGGACCGTATCGTCTCTGAAAAAAATTCGTTGACGAAAATAATTACGCAAATTAACACTGCCCGCCTGTTTGCTTGTCCTCTCCACTGTTCATCGATCGGTGCTCCGCTTAATGAGCTCGACTCACCTTCATTTGCAGGTTTAAAAAATCCTGTTAGCTTTGGAATCTTTTTTAACAATTCCTTCTCACTGTTTTCTTTCTGTCGCGATATTTTTCGTTTATGAGCACCACTCTCAAACTTTCTTCCTCAAAATTTTGATAGCTATCATCAGCCTCTGTGACTAGCATAAATTTGAATAGACTGACGTTACTAGAGAAGATGACGCAACTGTTTCTCTACATTCTGATAGGCTGTCATATCATGCTTCCCACGTGGGTCACTTGTAAATTGGATCAATCAGCAGCCAAAAACATGAATATCAAGTGATTGACAGAAAATTCGACAAATTACAAAACAATGTGATTTTTTTTTGGCTTATGATAGGCCCCTTGTCTTCATAGGCTTCAGCCCCAGTAAGCCCGTGCATTAATGCGGGCCTGACTAGAGCTATGAATATAACTAGATCAGGGTTAACGCTGTCCTCAGACGAGAGCCAGGATAAAGAAGAGGAAGGAATGATGAGATAATGAGGTAACGAGAGGGACGGTGTAACATGTGACAGCGCACACATTTGAATGCTTTTATTTGGATCTGAAAGACATTACAAAGAAAACAAGATCCAAATACTCTGGGAAGGGTCTACAGTTCATGGCTAACATACTTGTACAAGTCTTTTCATTTATAATACTCGACACATCAAGGATAAACAAAACATCTCCGTCTCCATATCTGCATGCTCTCTATGGTGGCTGAAACACAGCAGAATTTTGCAAGCCTTTTTGCCTCCTTTTTTTGCAGCCCCCCTAACTGCACCCCCCTGATCACGCTCTTATGGACATGGCCTAAACTTCCAAATACCAAAATTATTAATTTACAATTGTATCCAAGTTGGTAAATGAGATCTACCAGTGGTTGATATTTCAATACACACACACACACTAGTGTTAGCACTTTGTTCTCAGTCTTGTCTCGGACTCAGACTAAGATGACTCTGGATTTTATCTCTAGATCATTCAAGAACACAATACCAGGACTTCACGAAAATTGATTTATTTGTTAACATAAATAATGTGATTGGGTGTAAAACTTCCTGCTTCCACTGCTATCAATAAATTATTTTTAATTTGATTTCTTTTGTTATCAAAAAACAAGGGATTGAGTCAAAAATGTCACCAAAATGAATACGAATGTCCACACAATTAAAAATTAAAAAGTTATTAAGCTCGTCATGAAAGTGAAGTTGTGCTACTGGACGTATATCGAGTGAAACGCTTCTGGAACAAGAACACATGTGGGCGGGGCTTGATTCTGTCAGGGGGAATTGATTGGATGGTTGTGGTCCAGTAACGGCTGCGATCTCATGTGAGTGACAGGCCGAGTGAGTGAATCGCATAGACAGTAAAAGAAATGGACACAGCGACCCCATAGATTTCAACGGAGAAAGTTGAAGCCCATTAGAAGCATCTCTTCCTGATAGCCGACTGCAGGCTCACACTGAACTTGACGGCGTAGATGTGACGTGAGCAACCGTGCCGAGACAAATGATGATGATGATTTATTTGTCCTCGAGAGGACATTTGTTTCCACCATAGATGCGTACATAAACAAACACACATGTATAACATATTAAGAACATGAACATATAAACATCTACAAAAAACAACACAAAAAAAACAACCAGAGAGCATACCTGGCGTATCAAAGGCCGATTTCCTATGTATTTAGAGCTCGTGTAGATACAGGAACAAAACTCTTACTACACCTGGCCTTCCTACACATCGGTGTCGGTGACCTATACCAGCGGCCAGAAGGCAGGAGGATAAAACACTTGTAAAGTGGGTGTTCTGAGTCATTTAAGATTTTTTGTGCCTTTCGTAACGTGAATGTCGAGACACTATCCGATAAATTGGGGGTAGGGATGCCAATAATTGTACTTACTAAATGAGTTATCTTTAAGAATTTGTTCTTGTTGGTAACTGTAAGCATATGAAAAAAACAAATGGCCCCATAAGTAAGGACCGGCTCAATAATACTGCGATACAGAAGCAGAAGAAGACGTGGCTGAACAGACAAGTGCCTGAGTTTACGAATAGCTGTCAGTCTTTGTTGACAGCGCTTGTAAACCCCTAGAGTATGCTGGTTAAAATTGAGATTTTGATCCAAACTAATGGCAAGATATTTGAAATGCTCTACTCTCTCAACATCTCTCCATCAATGATAATGCTAGAAGCATGGATCTGTGTTTTTGAGGTGCTAAAGATCTGGGGCCTCATTTATAAACGTTGCGTACGCACAAAAGAAGGCGTACGCCGCTCTCTACGCAATAATTGGTATTTATAAAAAGCAAACTTGACGGTAAAATGTGCGGTCCTTCACGCAAGCTCTGACCCAGGCGTACGCACAAACACGGGTGAAATGAGAAATGGCGACACCGTCGGCAGATGGAAGAAACACGTGAAAGTGTGTGAAACTGTAGACCGTTGTGTAAAATAAATGGCAATACTGCCTCTCCTAAATAACACGAAGACTTCACAAAGCAAGTCTTACAATTAACAGCCAACACGAACACCCGTTTGATCGATCTGCAACAGAAATGCAAATTAACACATATTTGCAAAAAGAAAAGTGAAATATGTTCTGCAATAATATTGGCATGTTATACAATTCATCCTCATAAATAAGATGGTAAACAGAATGAAATAATGTACAAAACTGATATTCCCGCCAATGTGTCCGTCAGGCGGAGCAGATTTAGCTAGATATAGCTAGTCAGTCAGATAGATAGATAATTAGGGAGAGATAGATAGATAAATAGATAGATGTATTATTTGTCCACTGGGGAAAGTTGTTTTCATAGTAAAAATGTCTTCATCAGCTAGGGAATCATGGTAGGCCTATTCATGCAGGTATTTCATGCATGCCTTTAGTTTTATTTTTGATAGAATAACCTATGACTTATGTCTCAACCATTCAGAAAGCTGCAAGAAATTACATTTGCGCTGAACTATTTCCCATTTCCAAGTAGATTATAACCGACATCTGTAGCTTGTAATTTTTTTTTTATTTCGGCCACAGTCCGAGGGTGTGAGGCTAGCATACGGCGTCTGCAACCTTTTGACACTCAAGTGCCTTTTTGGCATTAGTAGGCTAATGCCCACACTGTGCCCTCCAAACAACATTTTTCTCCTCTTTTCCACCTCGCCAACGATAACTTCTACTTCACATTGAGTGAAGTTACGTTTCTTTGATTTCCTCTCTATGTTTGCCATGATTTCGCAATCGATGAATATTAACTTGTGGGCGTTTCACGGACTATTTATGGGCAACTATGGGCGTGACATGAAGCCGCAAAAGCTGCGCTACATTTAGAATTGATTGTGATTTATTAAGGGAAAAATGCGTAGGATGTGCATGCGCACGGTTTTATAAATCCGAATATTTCTGTGCGTACGCACGTCCTATGTTTCATCCGTACGCCACTTCTGACGCAAATCCTACGCAAAGTTTTATAAATGAGGCCCCAGGGCCCTGACCATGAATTATTCATAAAGAGTCTAAGAATCCTCTCAGAAAACTCTTAATTTAGCTAAAAAACTTTTACGTAGGAGTCTTAGCTTAAGAGTGATTCGGGACCGATCTGAGAGCAACTCTGAGTAAGGAAAAGACAAAAGCTCTCATCTTAGTGAGGAGGCGGGGCTGACCCCGTTGCTATGTGTGACACACTCTTTTGAAGACTCTGATTGGTTGGTTGTCCAAGAAGAAAAAAAAAAGAGTGATTTTAAGTATAGGGTCTATTCTAAGCCTTCACTTTGAAATTACATGCGTCATTTTTCCTATTTGACCGTTCTCTCTCTCTCTCTCTCTCTCTCACACACACACACACACACACACACATTATATATGTGTATATAAATCTTTTTTTTAATTTACCATGCTGTTAATTTCCTATAAGGTATTTGATTGGCTTAGAATGATAAAACGTGTTCCACTGATTGCTGGCATGTCTATTTAAGTGGTGGTTTGAATGTTGGTTTTAATGTAACAAACATGGAATCTAAACCAAGACGGCCGAGAGAGCCGGACTGGACAGAGGAACAGTGTTTACTGTGAGCCCAGTTAGTGGACGAACACAAGGCCATCCTTAAAGGAACATTCGGGCCGGGTGTCGATCTAGTGTCTTATTAACTCGCTGTCATCCAATGTGTGAAACACATTTCTTCTCCCTCTTCGTCTTTCTGCCATTTTCTCCTCTGCTAAAGAAACTCTTAAGCCTCTTAAAAGTCCTCGTTCGTACTCCTAACAGCTTTGACCTTAAGACCTCTTTTAAGGGTTAAGATACTCTCTGAATTACTTTTTTCTTTACTAGGATATTTTCTTTCATTTCAAGAGTAAACGCCCACATTTCTAAGAATTTTCTTAGACTTTTGTCACTAGGAGCGACTCTTTGCTTTAAGACTCTTTCTGAATACGGGCCCTGATCCTGATCCTCCTGACGCTGTGCGGTGAAAACCTGCACAACCGTGACCTTGCTTAGAGTCACAAAATATTCTAGTTGCCAGAAATTCTAGTCAGTAAATATATTTAGTAAATCTAGGCAGTGTACACATTCAGTGCTCATTAATTCATTCACAAACCTCTTTATTTAGGCAACAACATCCACAACATATCTAATTTGACTATTCTTCAGTTAATATTTGCAGCAGTATTTATTATTTATTATTCATAGCCATTATATATTTACTACACTGTAATTGTACTGAAAATGAACATCTTAACACTATTATTAAATACATTATTATTTACACATTAGTATAAAATATCAATTCACTTCATTTTTATAAAAAAAAGAAAAACAAATCAAACAATTCTCTCTTGGCATCAGTGTAAAGTGATCATGCAGTTATATCCAAAATAAATTAGGAAAAATTGTGTTAAACTATTTTAAAAGACCATTAAAATGGGCAGCATTAATTTACTTAGTATAGGTGTCACATATTTGCCTCATAGTGAGTACAGCACTACTTAAACTGTGTGTTCCCTTATCCGTTCTCCAGCTGGCTTTGTGTGTATTTTTAGATTGAATAGAGTGCGTCTCTGGTGTGGTATATGTGTGTGTGTGTATGTGTGTGTGTGTGTGTGTGTGTGTGTACGGCTCAGCGCTGGCCTGTTTGCAAGTGAATACCCAGACCAGCTCTTTTTTAATTTTGTTCACACAAAGTAGCCTTTGTCTGTCAGTGCCTCTGCTCTCTCAGTGCACACACACACACACACACACACACACCAGAAGGGTTCAGTCCTCCTTCACATTATTGTTCGAATGCCGGTCAAGTCTTTCAGGCTTGAAGCCCCTGGGTTTGCTGGGTAAGAGGATCACAGCCAGAATACTGATGACATGCACATGAAAGTACATCGATCTGAAGGAGAGAAGAAACCATGAGATAAACATTACCAGCACAAACAACATCCAGAAAGTGATATCATCCAACAACATAAAAAGATAAAAACAAGATGGTCACATTATGCTCTAAAATAAAAATAATTTAGATATTTTTGCACTTTGAAGGATATTTCTCTGGAGAAATGTTGAGAAACATATTTTTCCACATTGAAAAATAGAAAAGCAAATCCCTCCAAATGCACTGATAAACTTAATTTATACCAGTGCAAATCGCCCGCCTTGTTGGCAGAGGTTATTAACGCTAACTGCGCCCACCACTGGCTGATTGAGGCAGACCAAACTACAAGAAAACCTGTTACCAGGATCAGTGGTGTGGAGAGTAAGACGGGTGCCATTAATATGCCTTTTCCTAAACTCATTCTCTCTTATCCCATGACATTTCAGCTCGAAGAGAAGTTTATTTTAAATAAAATATTTGTCTAATAGTGGGAATTAAGTGTTGATTAAGGCTTAGTGCACCCGGGCGATGGCGCTTTCTTCAAAGTGCGATTTCTCAGTGATTTCTGGCAAGCCGGCCTCTTCTGCAACACTGTCAAGGAATTAACCCAGCAAACAGAGGCCATCAAACCCATCGTGCCCTGGCACAATACCACTGCCCCCAGTCTGCCGAGGGCCAGCCCCCAGTCTGCTCGTCCCCGAGGGGGTCTCTGTGCGGCGTCTACACCTGTTCTGGCCCGGCCACAGCAAGGCGATACAGCCCGTCCCTTAGGCCTCAAACACCGAAGCAGCCCTGAGACGGGCGACCCAGAGATGGAGAGACCTGCTCTGACCCAGAAGGGGGTGATTTCACCACTCCTTGCCCCGGAGGAGGGCTGGGTGGAGAATCTACTGTTTCAAATAAAAGAGTTTATTTCTGTTCAGCCAAATTTTCAATTAAACAGCAGTTTGCTCAGTCTCTGGGTGCTGTCGGGCACTGAGCGACGCTGCGCTCCCAGATTCAAACCCCCCTTTCACCACAGGCCAGGTCACATTCCCAGGACGCGCTGCTTCCTCACGCATCTCTAGTTCTCTAGGGTTCCTCGGAGCCTGGTAAGTGTCACACCAGACACTGCCTTTACTTTGGGATGCTATGCTTCCCGGGATGAGCCCCAGCGCTCCTCCTCGCTGCCCCTCCGTGGGTACGCCGGTGGTCCCTCTGGTGGTGCTCTCACAGAGCCTGGCCCCTCTCGCTGGCTCATTCAGACAGTCAGACTCAGCTATGCGATTCAGTTTGCCAGGCGTACCCCAGGTTAAGCGGAGTCCTATTTACCTCTGTGACAGGCAAAGATGTCCTGTCCTGCGAGCGGAGATTGCAGTCCTATTGGAGAAGGACACAATAGAGCCTGTCCTTCTAGCCGAGATGAGGTCGGGGTTTACAGCCCTTACTTCATCGTACCCAAGAAGGGCGGTGGGTTATGCCAGATCTTGGATCTGCAAGTCTGCGAGTCTTGAATCGGGCCCTGCACAAGCTTCTGTTCAAGATGTTAACGCAGAAGTGCATTCTCACATGCGTTCGCCCTCAAGATTGGTTCACAGCAATCAACCTGAAGGAAGCAGACCGTTTCTTTGGTTTGCTTTCGAGGGTCAGGTATACCAGAACAAGGTTCTCCCCTTTGGGCTGTCCCTGTCTCCCCGTGTCTTTACCAATGTTGTGGAGGCTGCCCCGTTAAGGGAAGTAGGCATCAGTATTCTCAACTATCTCGACGACTGGCTCACTCTAGCTCAGTATCGAGATTTGTTATGTGAACACAGGGACCTCAGCCATCTGGGGCTTCGGGTCAACTGGGAGAAGAGCAAACTCTCTCCAGTGCAGAGCATTTCTTTTCTCGGTATGGAGTTAGACTTGGTTAATATGACGGCACATCCTATGAACGAGCATGCACAGTGTTATGACCTGTTCTATAGAGAAAAGCTTGACGTGAACATTTCAGATGTCAAACTGGAATCCAGCCCAAGCAGACAGATCACCAAAGACACCAAAACATAAGATCCAGAAAAAGTAATTTATTATGGTTGAATGAAAAATAAATTAATTAAGGAGCCATGGCTTCAGGGTGCCCCAAGGCCAAAATAATCAACAAAATAGGCTTATAAATAAAACATAAATAAATAACCTAATCGGGGAAAACAAAAATGACGAAGAAACTTCCCTGTCTGCCTATAAATAAACAAATCACAAAAGAGGTCAAAATAAATGGCAGGACACCCCTACACTCCTAAAACACAAGTAAGAGTCTGATTAATTCACTACAAACAAAAGCATAACCAAAGAAAGGTTTGGGATCTGTCGACAGGAGGAGGAATCCGGATCTTTCCACGACCCAAGGCCAGAATGAGCTCGCCATCTTCGGACAGCGACTCCTTTTTATTGCGGCGCATCAGCAGGTCCACCAATCATGTTTCTCTGCTCCGTCATAACATATTGCAGTGCTGCTCGCCGTGCACCGGCTTCGGCCGCTGCTCCAGGGCAAGCTTGTGTTGGTCAAGACGCATTACTCTGCGATATTTCCACATCATCAACCAAGGCAGCGTGAGCTCCCGTCGCATTGTCACAACTTCCCCGCCATCTCCTCCTCTTGATTCAGCAGCGGCTCAGGGCGCTGGAGACTTCATTCCCAGGTGGTCCAGCTGATTTTCAGTCAGTCTATTTGGAGAAGCCCAGGAAGACCTGTTTGCCTCCCAGGAATCCTCCCACTGACAGCTCTTTTACTCCCTGATGCTCCCCTCTGCACGGATGCGCTGGCACACAGCTGGCCCTGGGGGCCTACACAAGTATGCATTTCCCCCAGTGAGCCTGCATGCACAGATATTGTGCAAGGTCAGGGAGGACGAGGAGCAGGCCTTGATGGTTGCACCTTACTGGCCCATCCGGACCTGGTTCTCAGACCTGATGCTCTTAGCGATTCCCCTGAAGAGAAACCTTCTTTCAGAGGGACGGGGCACCATATGGCACCCGCATCCGGACCTCTGGAACCTCCACGTGTGGCTTCTGGACGGGACTTATGTGGCCTACCTCTGGTGGCGGAAGACACTATAACTCAAGCCAGAGGTCCCTCTACAAGCTTATTATTTGAAGAGGAGTCTGTTCGCTGAGTGGTGCGAGGCAAGCCTTTGGAGCTCTGTGCTTTCCTTTCGGCAAGTTGTAACCAAGTTGCAGCGGATTGCAGGTCCCTCGGAAAGCATGACCTGATCATCTGGGGCCGTATTCACAAAGAATTTTAAGGCTAAAAGTAGCTCCTAACTGACGAATTTAGGAGCAACTCCTGAAAATAATGGGCGTGTCACTCCTAACTTTAGGACTCCTAATTTTTGTCACTAAGAGTAATTCACGAAGCATTTTAGCCCTAAAAGTAGTACCTAAGTCTGGGACAGCTTAAAAGAAGTCGAGAGGACTCCTAACTCACTAAGACCAATTCACAAAGGATTGTAGTGCATATACCAGCGCCTTCCTTACTAAGAGTAGGTCTGAAAGGCGTTGTGAATAACTTTTAAGAGAAAACTCCTAGCTAAAATATTTTAGTGCCATTTAGGAGTACTCCTAGTGGTAAGATAAAATTCTTTGTGAATACGGCCCCTGATGTTTAAATCAATTGATGTTTAAAGTACAGCTGTTGTGTGGCAGACGAGGCTTCCCTTCTGGTTCTGTTCTGTTTAGCCTAAGTGGGGTTATTGCTGCTCTCCCGGCTCTTATCCATGCTAGGCTGCCCAGAACAGAACCATACCGCCAATCCAAACTGTATGCTAATTGTCAATCATCTGTGACGATAGCTGTCCTGACAGAACTAATTTTAAATATTGGCTAGATAACACCTTCCCTTCTTCATGGGCAGTTCTTGACCAGAATAAGCTGCAATGTAGACCAGATTTTATGCCAAATGTCTGACTACACGAATTGCATAACTGAGACTTTACCTGTAATACTGCATGGTGGGTTTGATGGCCAGCAGAAGGAAAGGCATTACAGTGTAGCAGATGGTCATCTGAGTGGCAGCCCAGGTCACAACATCATAGCAGATCTTGAGCTGGCGAGAAGACAAGAAATACTCCCGAAAGTTTCTGCGCACCTGATTACATCAAACCAAAACATGAGGCAGTAGTGAGTGAGTGGCAGGTGTGGCTGAGAATGACGAGCAATCAAGGGATTTATATAAATGTGTGGAGAAGTGGAAAACGACACTGACTAAACTTCAACTGACAAAGCTAAAACCCTTGCAGGCAAAATACACTGGTAAGAAGACAGCAAGGCAAATCCAATTGTTCTGTCCTTTTTATTTTGATGATTTATCTGGTAAGATTTCAGAAAGGCAACATGTTGAGTATTCAATGTTAATGTTTTGTCGAGTATTCTTGTAAGCACACAAGTGGTCCACTTACAAGTGGTCTTGTAAGTCTTAAATTAGTTAAAGTCTTAAATGAACGTAAATAATTGTGAGAAAATGGGATGCTTGTCAGATACGCGTCGTGCAGCAGTGGCAGGTCTTAAAGTGACAGCAGCCTAATAAACCTGGATGAGTGTGTGTGTGTGTGTGTGTGTGTGTGTGTGTGACTCACAGTGCGAGCTGCTAAGGTGATGGGTATAGCGGTGATGAATGTAAAGTAGTATCCGGGGTAAACTCCATGCCAGATCGCCGACAGCACGAATGTGAGAGGCATGCGGTGAAACGGAGCTCGATCATGACATACACTGGAGCATAACAGATGAAAGCATGTGAGACATGGCACTGAACTGACATATGCTAATACACATACATGAGATAATTAAAAAATACCTGTATGGGCCATTCTACAGAGTTTGAAACGTCTTGATTTTTTTTTTGTCTATTTCCACAAATTTTGTATGTATGCAAATTGTATAATATCCAAGGTACACATTTCTAGTAATTGTGCAGTTAATTATCATATTGTATTTTCAGAAAGTGTTGGAATATTTTCCCTCTCCCCAATTTTGTCACTAATGAAACACAAAAATAAATAATTTGATCCTAACCCTAATAAGAGAAACTCCTCCTTCTCTTGACTGGTTTAGGGGACACAATCTGCACTGGTTCAAAACTGGTTCCAATAACATTTTCTAGTCAATAGCAACAGATCAGTTGACTAATATATAAATATAACATTTAAAACTAACCGTTTTAGCCAAAGAGCAGTCTGTATATTCCAGTTGTCGATAAATGATTTAAAACTTGTTGCTGTCTGCAAACAGAGAAAAGATTTGTTTTATAATTGAGAGATCCACAGCCCTTCTGTGGCATTATACAAGGCAGTAGTGAATACACCGTTAGCATGGCCTGTTCAAAAGTAGTGAACAAACCTCAATCTCCCAGATGTGGACGTTGGAGACGAGGTCCCAGGACACTTCTCCTCTCGCGTTCACACCACTGACTCCAAACCCCACTGCATTGTGGACCGCATCCGCTGGAAGTGGGAAAAACACGCATTTACTGTACAGCGCTAGTCCTTTTAGATACTGTGTAAGGACACCCACACTAACACATTTCCAATCGTTCATTAGTGGATTTGTAAGCCTAACCCTTTTTCAAAATAACATTTAAATGATTATCCTTAATAGCATGCAGTTGTACACTATAACTCCCAGTATCTCCTATCCTAGCTTGATATGTGTAAACAATCTGTGTGAACATCCTTGGATTGAACTATCGTTTGTTTGTCCGACCAATGACAGAAAACCAGGGAAAACCTTTTTTCCGTCATTAGTTTTGTAATTCCATTTTGTGATGCTAGTGATACAGAAATGACAGGCCTCATCTTTATTACATGATTTTACATTTTTTTTATTTAAAATGACGTGACATTGTGCTCTAAGACTACAGGACCCCTGGTATCTGCCGTTTGGCTGTACATTTAATTTTAATATTTTGGAACAGACCCATGTTTTTCTGCCAACAATACATGACAAGAAATAACAGTATGTTCTAAAACGTCGACTCATAACCCGTTCTGCTTTCAGCCAATCCCACGGCCTCAGGTTTCTGTCCGCGTCTGCTTACCGAGGGTCCATGCGAAGTAGAACTTGGGTCTGGCAGCCTGGATGGAAACCAACGCGTAGGCCAATCTGGTCACGAAAGAGGCGTCGCTGACGAACTGCGGGTCCGCATTGTACGTTATGGGGAAGGCTTTGGTGATGATGAAGAACCAGAGCAGACAGCAGACGCACACGAGAAGCTTATTAACCACAGTCCTCTGTAGAAGAACAGCAGGAATCATCTCAGGAGACACAATAGCACAGGGGTGGGGAACGTTGATCCTGGAGGGCCACTGTCCTGCAGAGTTTAGCTCCAACCCTAACCAAACACACCTGAAGCTAATCAAGGTCTTCAGGATTACTAAAGCTACAGGCAGCTGAATGTTTTTTCCAGGGTTGGAGCTAAACTCTGCGGGACAGTGGCCCTCCAGGATCAACGTTCCCCACCCCTGGAATAACACAAGAAGTTTCCTGGGAAATGTGCAAGACAACCTGGCAATGTTTGATCACCCTAAAACTTTCTAAGCATTGATTATTTGATCCTCAACAACATTACTACACCAAATAAACATGCCACAAATTAATCAAAGCACACATGTAAATGGATATTTCACCCAGCAATGCATATTCTGTCATCTTATACTCACGCTCATGTGCTTCTAAACCCATTAGACTTTCTTGCTTCATTGGAATACAAAAGGAGTTTATCAGAATGTAAAGGCTGCTCATTTCCATACAATGAGGCATGGGCCTGTCAAGCTTTGACAAAAAAGCACAATAAAATAAAAGGGTTTTGTTTTAATGGCATGACGGTTTTACTTTTAATGATGGCAGAGTTTCATTGTTGGGTGAAGTTTTGCTCTACATGTTCACTGCCCTGAACACACACACACACACCGGCCTAATCCATGCTGTTCTTACTGAACTGATCTCTCTTATTCTGCTTCTGAGTCCTGTGTGCATAGCTGTGTTTCTGAAGCATTATTGGTATGGATCTGTTTGTCTCACCACAGGCGACGGCTCAGGCACTTTATCCCAGCCGTTCTGCTGTGAACTGCCGTCTCTGACTCGCTTCACACGCTGGCCCCTGATAAACTCAGTGTAGTCTTTATAGAGACTGCAAGGGCCCACCAAGACACTCAGGAAATTTATATTGTAGCTCAGATACTCCAACAGAGACGGGCGCGAGCTGTAGATGGAGAAAACATGCGGTCAGTGGAGAAGAACGTGACTTATCTCAGCAACAGGAATGTTCCCTGAAAAGCTTTTGTTTTTACACTGATCACTGTTTTAGTCACAAACATGATCTGATTCTGTGGGGCGAAGCTGTCATTCCCAAAACAAATGCAAGTAGGATGACCTTTGGTTCATATTTGCCTTTCTGTCTTTATTTCCTGTTTATTATTATTATTATTTTAAACCATTGTGCAAGCTGATATTACATTTCAAGTTTAATTTGTTAATGAAGTTTAAATTTAGGTTACGGAAGGGTTACAGTGGCTTGCAAAAGTATTCAGCCCTTCATTTTTTTTCCTTTGATCACGCCGAAATAGGTTGTAATCGCTGTCAACCGTGATTTAACTAAGTCCTGGGTTATGAGTCTGAGGTTTTTTCCCTTTTTAATAAATTTGTAAACTTAGCACAAATAGTTTTTGCGGTGTCTTTCTGGGGAATGGAGTGTAGACTGATGACTTTCGCGAGGCACTGTCTTTGTGTCCGGGACTTTTCTGCCATTTCTGCCATGAGTAACCACCAAATATTAGTAAATGTTAGCACAGATTTTGCCCAGTAAGATGTAGTTACTGCTGAGAATAAAAAAGTCATACTGTACTGCCAGACGCCTCTGATCGTCTTTAAGTTCCTCTTGCTTTCGACTCATACCTGAAACACGCAGGAAGACATGAGTCATGTTTTCTGAAATGATCGATTGATTATTTTCTAAGATGTCAGTGACATGACAATTTATAGCAACAAATTGACAAAAGATTGCACCAATGATTTCTCACCATCATGCACCTGAAAGGCAAGAGTAGTGACCTTCTGTGTTATTATCATCAAAGGCCTGAAAACAAGAGGAGACAAAGTAAATATCCTAATGAAGAAAGACCCCACATTTATCATTAAGAGAAACAGTGTTTATATACAGTAGGTCTACATAAGCAGAGTGGTTAGTTTTCCATCAGTTAGCATACAGGCTCATGTATAGTGTTCACAGCGAGGCTCACGGATCCACACTAACAGTCAGCAACTACACAGAGTTGGACAAGCCTTGAAAGAGAAAGACTGAAAGTAGTGATGATTTGCAGTGAATCAGATGTTGATTCAGGAACCGCTCTGACTGATTCAGTTCTTTGAGTGAAGGAATCCAGTAACGTGAGTGAAAATAAACCATTAAAAGAACTGAGTTCAGGGATTTCTTTTACACGAATCGGGTTTTTGCTCCACAGACACAAGACAACTCAACATGCACAGGCCGAGCACAGCCTGTTTTCTGTCCCCAACAACGTCCAAATCAACCCTGTACGCTTGGATCCAGGATTACACACACCATCCCTGTGTGTCCTAGCAGGTTTAGTCTGCAGTGAGTGGAGACACGTCTGATAATCTCTAGAGGAAACTATTACAGCCAATTAGACTTCAGTGTAATCCAGCGTGTTAGAAGTTAAAAATAAATAATATTGCTACTTCAACCTCTAAATGTGACACTGGTCTTTGTGTTTGTCAGCTGACCTCAGCCGTGTGATTTTACTCAGAGGAACAAGTAGTCTGTAACGTTTATAGCGATACTGGTCATTAAAACAAAATAGTGATTCAAACATCAATTTAATAAAAGCATATGATGCGTTGTATGTGTTCATCAGTGGAGAGGACAGAGGGAGCAGAAGGCATCTGGACTTTATGCTCATATGCAGCATTTGTTTTCTGTTTACATTTTATTTTGTCATTCAATTTACATTGAACGTCAGCCAGTTCCTGCCTCCTCCTCGTCTAGACAAGGGACTTTGTTACAATTACATTTAAAGAGAAAAGAGACGTGACCGAGGCACTGACAGCTCGACAGCATGTTATCTCTCCTCTTGTTTATCCAAGGGTGTGTACAAAACCTCAGCAAAGGAAAACTGGCTAAACTGGTAGATAAGAAACTAAGTCGAGCCTCAGGGAGTGGCCACATCACAGAAACCAGAGCATTTGGCATCTAGTGTGAAGCCGGCGTGTGTTTCCGGCACCCATGTTAACATGGGAGAGCATTCAAACTGCAGAATGTCCATCTTTGCTGTGCAACTCATCTGCTACTGATCAAAATAACACAAACAAATATATTAAAAATGTCCTTACCCTGAGAAATCTGTGGACAGGATCCCATAGTCGAATATGAAGACTCTGCTCACTTGGCAAAGCGTGAGGTATCCGAGCGAGGCAATCAGAGTATATCTGTAATGAGAACACCTATTAATTCAGTGCTAAAGTTTAAAAAAACTCTTCTGAGAAGTGTGTGAGCATGCTGAACTTATTGATTTCCACAGACTGGTAAATGATAAACTGAATTTACACCATTAGTACTGTACAGCTCTGACCACTGATTTATTAGTCATGGACTTAATTTTACACAATTTTTAATGTCGTAATTAGGGACGTCTCGAGCCGATCTCTGTGCCCATTAAGCATTTATTTGGTAAAGAAGAAACTACAAATTTATATATATATATATATACATACATATTGGAATTACTGGTACAGCCTTTGACTGGTTCTCCTCTTATTTGACAGGGAGGTCAATGTTGTATTCCAGAAGCACAAATCCTCCACCAGATCTGTCAGCTCTGGTGTACCTCAGGGCTCTGTCTTGGGCCCTCTTCTTATCAGTTTACATGCTACCAATTGGACAAATTATTCTAGTTTATTCAAGTTTAGAAGGGCAAGTATTTTTCCACTACGGATTGTACGAAGAAATAAATATAAACACATTTTATACTCTGTAAAATAAAAAAAGCATTTTTATTAATGTGTGTTTAAATGTAATTCCCTGAGGAAGAGACTTAAGTCGCTTTGGATAAAAGCATCAGCTAAATGAATAAATGTAAATGTAAAAATGTAAATGTAAAACTTGACCAGTGGGTTGAAACAAGACCAAGTGAAAGTACAAGTAAGGTGTGTGTTGAGACAAATCTGTGGTTCTGTAATGATAAGAAATCTGTAGTTTTACAAGATCCAAACAAACAACAAACAAACAAATAACAAAAAACACAATACTATAATTATGTTGGACAAGCATTGGTGTAGACTGTGGCTGTTTAGTGACGTCCCACACTATACATGATAACAGAAACTGTCCAGCATGTGAAGTCAGTTGCTAAAGTCCGAAAAAAATAGTATTTTGCTGTCAATTTTTAAGCACTTTGAATATGTGCTTATATCAGCCAAGTCAAATTTCTGCAATATTTAAAGAAAAAAAAATATATATATTTTAAAAGCATTTTAGAGTTAAATGCTATGGGAGTAATGCCATCTTTAAAAGTAGGGTGGGCAATTTTCGAATCGGCTAGCAATAGGGATCTCCCAGTCACGTGACCCCTAGCCGCGTGTCAGCCATTTTGACGGAATACATCCGTCAGCTACTCAGTGGGCCACCCCTAATAATAGATCCATTGCCGTGGGTAATATATATTATAAGTATATTATTATGCTAATAATATAATTATTAGTATATTATTATACTAATAATATAAATATTAGTATAATTAGCCTAAATATTGCAATACTTTGCGCTACAATATTGATTTTTTTCCTCCTCCACTATATTATTAGCGCAGCGGTCGTCAGCTAACTTTTCACGTCATGTCATCGCACTTAATATTATCATCACAAAAAGAAATAGCCAATACAAGAGGAAGATAAAGGAATTAGGAATCATAGATCCATATGAAGAACCAGACAAGTTCTTTTTACAGTCAATAAATGTGTAGAAAAACTTCCTGACATTGAGTTCGGTGACATTTACAGCTACCTATTCAGCTACACCAGAGCTTCATTAAAAGCATACAAAAGCTTAGCAGGCTATCGGTATCACGAGTCCGGATGCGTCAGCAACTCTTTGATTTGGACTCCAGCGGGGAAGGATTTTTCAATCATCACCGCAAAGGTTGATCAATGTATTTTTATCACCAAATTATAGTAGGCACACCTGTAATAATGTTTAAACTGAGTTTACAGGGAAAAACACAAAACAAAATCACCAACAAGATTAAGTGTATCTTAAATGAATTTGTTGAATCTAGTTTGTATGGAGGGATTATTGGGTCAGATTGAAAACTAAAAGTCTAAAACTAAAAGTCTTAAACGAAAACCAAAAGTCTAAGTCAAAAACTAAAAGTCTAAGTCGAAAATGAATTTGGTATTTAGAATTGGGCATTTTGTATTTAGGATTGGGCATTTGGTATTTAGGATTGGGCATTTGGTCATTTAGCCATTTAGGATTTAGGATTGGGCATTTAGGGATTTAGGATTGGGCATTTAATCATTTAGCCATTTAGGATTGGGCATTTGAGGATTGAGGATTGAGGAGTGTATGCAAATAAGAAGGCGTGGCCCAAATACTGGAGGCTGGGTTTGAAATGGCTGGTGCAGATGCACCTTATGGACAGCAGAGGGCGCTCCAGTGCTAAGGAGCACACTGTAATGAAACCGAACAGAGCGAGTGAGCAGGTCATGGTCTGGAGCGAGGACTGTACTTTATAATATATATATGATAACTTCAACTTAATGACAGCGTTGTATAGGGGTACTGGAACGGTACATGTATTCCTATTGAACCGAAACGGTAGCCTACGGGCGTCACGGTTCGGTGCACGAATTTACACGGAGAATACACGGTATAAAAATAAATAAAACTCTAAATAGCGATACATTTCGCTCTATTCGCGTTTGGTGTGAACGCAGCATAATAAACAGGCTGCGATATCAAGATTGCAATGCTGGAGTGTGTGTGTGTGCGCGCGCGCGCGAGAGAGAGAGATAGAGAGAGAGAGTGTGTGTGTGTGTGTGTATGTGTGTGAGAGAGAGAGAGAGAGAGAGAGAGAGAGGGGAGGCGCAGGCGCGATCGAACTAGGTGTGTGTGTGTGTGTGTGTGTGAGAGAGAGAGAGAGAGTGTGTGTGTGTGTGATTTTGGTTGGGTGACAGTTGTAGGTTACAGTTTGACAAGATTTTAGAGTGTGACAAAGGGACAATGTTGTATTTTATTGCGAGTGTACACAAATATACACACTTTGCAGTTTGAACTTTGCAGCACACACTCCAACATTGCAATCTTGATATCGCAGCCTGTTTATTATGCTGCGTTCACACCAAACGCGAATAGAGCGAAATGTATCGCTATTTAGAGTTTTATTTATTTTTATACCGTGTATTCTCCGTGTAAATTCGTGCACCGAACCGTGACGCCCGTAGGCTACCGTTTCGGTTCAATAGGAATACATGTACCGTTCCAGTACCCCTATACAACACTGTCATTAAGTTGAAGTTATCATATATATATTATAAAGTACAGTCCTCGCTCCAGACCATGACCTGCTCACTCGCTCTGTTCGGTTTCATTACAGTGTGCTCCTTAGCACTGGAGCGCCCTCTGCTGTCCATAAGGTGCATCTGCACCAGCCATTTCAAACCCAGCCTCCAGTATTTGGGCCACGCCTCCTTGTTTGCATACACTCCTCAATCCTCAATCCTCAAATGCCCAATCCTAAATGGCTAAATGATTAAAAGCCCAATCCTAAATAGCTAAAAGCCCAATCCTAAATGACCAAATGCCCAATCCTAAATACCAAATGCCCAATCCTAAATACCAAATTCATTTTCGACTTAGACTTTTAGTTTCAAACTTAGACTTTTGGTTTTCATTTAAGACTTTTAGTTTTAGACTTTTAGTTTTCAATCTGACCCAATAATCCCTCCATAAGTTTGACCCAAGAAAAACGAAATAATATGCGTATAGACATTTTTTTATACTTGTAACTATCATACTACAGTGACACTGACTGTCACTGTAGTATGATAAACTGTCATTGAGACTGCTGTCTCAACCTGTCTTTCTGACGATTTAATAAAAGTGTCAAATAAAATACAAGATCAGCTTTCGGTTTAAAGATATTCCTATTGTATGATCACGTATCTGATCGCATCCAACTGCACAGCATCGCTCAGGCATGATAGGAATATTTCGCGATGAGCTGTATTATCACCGGCGGTTTAGCATTTTCTATTCCGTCAAAATGGCTGCGCCAAATGGCGTGACGTCACGCGGGACGTCCCTATAGCAAGCTAGCTTTGATAGCATGAGATCCTCCTCCTTCGAAGCCACGCCTCCTCCGAAGCCACGCCTCATCCAAAGCCACGCCTCATCCAAAGCCACGCCTCATCCAAAGCCACGCCTCCTCCAAAGCCACGCCTCATCCAAAGCCACGCCTCATGCAAAGCCACGCCTCATGCAAAGCCACGCCTCATGCAAAGCCACGCCTCCTCCAAAGCCACGCCTCATCCAAAGCCACGCCTCATCCAAAGCCACGCCTCATCCAAAGCCACGCCTCCTCCAAAGCCACGCCTCCTCCAAAGCCACGCCTCCTCCAAAGCCACGCCTCACCCAAAGCCACGCCTCATCCAAAACCACGCCTCATGCAAAGCCACACCTCCTCCAAAGCCACGCCTCCTCCAAAGCCACACCTCCTCCAAAGCCACACCTCATCCAAAGCCACGCCTCATCCAAAGCCAAGCCTCATCCAAAGCCAAGCCTCCTCCAAAGCAACACCTCCTCCAAAGCCACGCCTCCTCTAAAGCCACACCTCCTCCAAAGCCACGCCTCATCCAAAGCCACACCTCATCCAAAGCCAAGCCTCATCCAAAGCCACGCCTCATCCAAAGCCACGCCTCCTCCAAAGCCACGCCTCCTCCAAAGCCACTACTCCTCCAAAGCCACGCCTCCTCCAAAGCCACGCCTCATCCAAAGCCACGCCTCCTCCAAAGCCACGCCTCATCCAAAGCCACGCCTCCTCCAAAGGCACGCCTCATCCAAAGCCACGCCTTCTCCAAAGCCACGCCTCCTCCAAATCCACGCCTCCTCCAAAGCCAAGCCTCCTCCAAAGCCACGCCTCATCCAAAGCCACGCCTCATCCAAAGCCACGCCTCATCCAAAGCCATGCCTCATCCAAAGCCACACCTCCTCCAAAGCCACACCTCCTCCAAAGCCACGCCTCATCCAAAGCCACGCCTCATCCAAAGCCCTTCAGGTGTGTGTGTGTGTGTGTGTGTGTGAGTGATCTCAGAATAAACCCCTTCAGGTATGTGTGTGTGTGTGTGTGTGAGTGATCTCAGAATAAACCCCGTCAGGTGTGTGTGTGTGTGTGATCTCAGAATAAACCCCTTCAGGTATGTGTGTGTGTGTGTGTGTGTGATCTCAGAAAAAACCCTTTCAGGTATGTGTGTGTGTGTGTGTGATCTCAGAATAAACCCCGTCAGGTGTGTGTGTGTGTGTGTGTGTGTGTGTGAGTGATCTCAGAATAAACCCCGTCAGGTGTGTGTGTGTGATCTCAGAATAAACCCCTTCAGGTATGTGTGTGTGAGATCTCAGAAAAAACCCCTTCAGGTATGTGTGTGTGTGTGTGTGTGTGAGTGATCTCAGAATAAACCCAGTCAGGTGTGTGTGTGTGTGATCTCAGAATAAACCCCTTCAGGTATGTGTGTGTGTGTGTGTGTGTGTGTGTGTGATCTCAGAATAAACCCCTTCAGGTATGTGTGTGTGTGTGTGTGTTTGTGTGTGTGTGTGATCTCAGAAAAAAAACCTTCAGGTATGTGTGTGTGTGTGTGTGTGTGATCTCAGAATAAACCCCGTCAGGTGAGTGTGTGTGTGTGTTTGTGTGAGTGATCTCAGAATAAACCCCGTCAGGTGTGTGTGTGTGTGTGTGTGTGTGATCTCAGAATAAACCCCTTCAGGTATGTGTGTGTGTGTGTGTGTGTGTGTGTGTGTGTGTGTGTGTGTGTGAGTGATCTCAGAATAAACCCAGTCAGGTGTGTGTGTGTGTGTGTGTGTGATCTCAGAATAAACCCCTTCAGGTATGTGTGTGTGTGTGTGTGTGTGTGTGTGATCTCAGAATAAACCCCTTCAGGTATGTGTGTGTGTGTGTGTTTGTGTGTGTGTGTGTGTGATCTCAGAAAAAAACCCTTCAGGTATGTGTGTGTGTGTGTGTGTGTGTGTGTGATCTCAGAATAAACCCCTTCAGGTATGTGTGTGTGTGTGTGTGTGTTTGTGTGTGTGTGTGATCTCAGAAAAAAAACCTTCAGGTATGTGTGTGTGTGTGTGTGTGTGTGATCTCAGAATAAACCCCGTCAGGTGAGTGTGTGTTTGTGTGTGTGTGAGTGATCTCAGAATAAACCCCGTCAGGTGTGTGTGTGTGTGTGTGTGTGTGTGTGTGTGATCTCAGAATAAACCCCTTCAGGTATGTGTGTGTGTGTGTGTGTGTGTGTGTGTGTGTGTGTGTGTGTGTGAGTGATCTCAGAATAAACCCAGTCAGGTGTGTGTGTGTGTGTGTGTGTGATCTCAGAATAAACCCCTTCAGGTATGTGTGTGTGTGTGTGTGTGTGATCTCAGAATAAACCCCTTCAGGTATGTGTGTGTGTGTGTGTGTGTTTGTGTGTGTGTGTGTGTGTGATCTCAGAAAAAAACCCTTCAAGTATGTGTGTGTGTGTGTGTGTGTGTGATCTCAGAATAAACCCCGTCAGGTGTGTGTGTGTGTGTGAGTGATCTCAGAATAAACCCCGTCAGGTGTGTGTGTGTGTGTGTGTGTGTGTGTGTGTGATCTCAGAATAAACCCCTTCAGGTATGTGTGTGTGTGTGTGTGATCTCAGAATAAACCCCTTCAGGTATGTGTGTGTGTGTGTGTGTGTGTGTGTGTGTGTGATCTCAGAATAAACCCCTTCAGGTATGTGTGTGTGTGTTCATCGACCTCAGCAAAGCTTTTGACACCATCAACCGTGAACTGCTCTGGAAACACCTCTCCAAACTTGGGGTACCACCCAAGTTTCTCCGCATCCTACAGCAACTGCATGACGGGATGCAAGCCAGAGTGCTCACTGGAGAACTCCAGTCAGAGTCCTTCGAGGTAAACGTTGGGGTGAAGCAAGGCTGTGTCTTGGCTCCGGTGCTCTTTAACATCTTCCTCTCTGCCATCACCTGCCTCTTCCACCGTGTCATGGGACATGAAGACGGTGTCCATGTGGAATACCGACTTGACGGAAGCCTCTTCAACATCCGTCGGCTCCAGGCCCGCACAAAGACAAAGACCCACCAAATCTGTGAGCTTCAGTATGCTGATGACTGTGCCGTCTTAGCTCACAGCCCAGACTCTATGCAGCACGCCCTTAACACAATATCCCGTCTGTACCAATCCTTTGGCCTACAGGTCAACATTCAAAAAACCGAGGTCATGTCCCACCTCACTACCCCCGCCCCTACACCCCCCAGTTTTCACATAAACGGTGTTCCACTTAAAACAGTGGACCACTTTACCTACCTCGGCTCCACTTTGTCCTCATTCTGCTCCCTGGACAAAGAAATACACACCCGGATAAATAAAGCATCATCATCTTTTGGACGCCTACGCAGCAGGGTTTTTGAAAACCGTAACCTGAAGGTCAGTACCAAGGTCGCTGTTTACAATGCGGTATGTGTCTCTACTCTGCTCTACGGGGTAGAGTCATGGACCCCATACCGCCAGCACATCATCAACCTAGAGGCTTTCCATATTCGCTGCCTACAGAAGATCCTCCGGTTGTCCTGGGAAGACCGAATCCCCCATACAGTCATCCTCAGGAACACTGACTCAATCTGTATGGAAGCAGCTGTTGCCAAAAAACATCTGCGCTGGATAGGGCACACCATACGCATGCCTGAACACCGATTGCCCCGCCAAGTCCTCTACAGTCAACTAATGGGCGCAAAGCGGTCCGCTGGAGGGCAAAAGCGGCGCTTTAAGGACTACATCAGGGACATCCTAAAGAGAGCGAGCATTCCCCTCACGCAGCTTGAATCACTGGCACTCGACAGACCTCCCTGGCATGTCACCTGTGCAACTGCAATCTCTCAAATACATCAAACCAACCAAGACCGACGATCCGAGAGGCGCATCAAGAGACACCAGTGGGCGGCTGGTACCCCCCTGGTATCTGGTTTCCCCTGCTCCATCTGCGGACGAGTGTGCGGCTCAAGGATCGGACTCAACGCCCATGAGAAGTGGCACCAGCGGCAAGGTCGCTAAACCCACCCCCCTCCCACCCCCACCCCCACCCCCTGGAGCAAGCGTCATCATCGTACACGATGGACAGCTAGAGAGAGAGAGAGTGTGTGTGATCTCAGAAAAAAACCCTTCAGGTATGTGTGTGTGTGTGTGTGTGTGATCTCAGACAAAAACCCTTCAGGTATGTGTGTGTGTGTGTGTGTGTGTGTGTGTGATCTCAGAATAAACCCCCTTGATCCTGATCACCCTATCGGGTTTATTCTGAGATAACAACTGGCTGGATGTACATTATCCCTCACTTAGACCACTTGTTGATGGCTATCAGGATGTGAAGAGAATTTCAACCAGCATAACAACTACCCTGCCTTTAAGTAAAACTTAAAAGGATATAATATTTAAAATGATTAATTTATACTAAAGAAAATAAATTAAAATAATAATTTCCAGTATGTGGTTTCAGTTTTCGGCCAGTATTAATAAAGCAGTTCTGAGGCAGAAAGCGTATTTGCTGCTCACCTGTGAAGATTGTGGACACTGGCTGTGATCATTATACCATAACAAGCCAAGACCAGGAGGAAGACATGCACAGCATACCTGTCACAGCGAGAACATGCTGAACATCTGATCACAGCACACGTCAGTTCACTTACACAAGTACACACATGACAGACAGACAGACAGATATACACTCACCTAAAGGATTATTAGGAACACCTGTTCAATTTCTCATTAATGCAATTATCTAATCAACCAATCACATGGCAGTTGCTTCAATGCATTTAGGGGTGTGGTCCTGGTCAAGACAATCTCCTGAACTCCAAACTGAATGTCAGAATGGGAAAGAAAGGTGATTTAAGCAATTTTGAGCATGGCATGGTTGTTGGTGCCAGACGGGCCGGTCTGAGTATTTCACAATCTGCTCAGTTACTGGGATTTTCACGCACAACCATTTCTAGGGTTTCAAGCTGATAGAAGAGCAACTTTGACTGAAATAACCACTCGTTACAACTGTGAAGCCACAACAAGCACAACCTTGAGGCGGATGGGCTACAACAGCAGAAGACCCCACCGGGTACCACTCATCTCCACTACAAATAGGAAAAAGAGGCTACAATTTGCAAGAGCTCACCAAAATTGGACAGTTGAAGACTGGAAAAATGTTGCCTGGTCTGATGACTCTCGATTTCTGTTGAGACATTCAGATGGTAGAGTCAGAATTTGGCGTAAACAGAATGAGAACATGGATCCATCATGCCTTGTTACCACTGTGCAGGCTGGTGGTGGTGGTGTAATGGTCTGGGGGATTTTTTTTATTGGCACACTTTAGGCCCCTTAGTGCCAATTGACCGTTCGCAGGCCCCTCCCCCAAAACGGCTATTGTCCAATCACACATCATAGCAACCGTTACTATGTGAGCAGGTCCGTCAAACATTGACTCCAAGCAAGATGGTGAAGCGGTGCGCCCACGGCGTTTGTAAATCGGACACTAGATACCCCGAGAGATTGTCTGGAGGAGTTGTGTTCTTTCCGTTTCAAAAGCCGAAAACACAACGTGCGCTGTCCCTACAATGGATAAAAACAGTGTGGACGGCCCCACTCCCAGTTAAATGTGTCGAACATGGTTAACTCGCGTGCAGCGTGCGTGAGACTGAGACAATGTGTCACATGCCTGTCCTGTCTTGTGTTGCACATGGGTGTTGTTATGTTGTGCCATGTGCTGTTGTGATTGTTGATCCCTCCTCCTCGTTACCTGATTAGTGTTTGAGTTGTTCCACCTGTTCCCTCTTGATTTGTTCCCTTTTTAAGTCTCCTCTTGTATGCAGTCTTTGTCGGTTCGTTGTCATACGTCTTCCCAGTTCCTTGTCGATGTTCATATGTTCAGAGTCAGTGTTGGTTTTATGCTCATTTATTATGTTTTCCCCCTCGTGGGTTTTTGATTTGTGTTTGTACTGTTTTTGTTATTTAATCCTCTTTGTTTTGCACTTGAGTTCTCTTCCTTGTTTTTGTACTTGTACACGTGACAGAACGAACCGACCTCTTTGAGAACTCAGCAGCATGGAGGATTTTTGCTGGAGGTATATTGATGACGACGACTTGGATTGCCCAGATTACATCATTTCCACATTTGGATCAACCCAATTCTCTCCGATCGGCGGTGTCAGAAGGACTCCGCCAAACCTGGGTTCCAGCGGGGGGTTTTCGGACTTCTCTTCCCCAGCCAAGGAGCGGGAGAGGAGAGATTTTCGGGGGACCCGCCAGGTAATTTTTCGTGGGACCCGGGGAGGTTGTAAAGGAGGAGGAGGTGGTCGAGAGGAGGGTCAACATCACTCTCCATCCTGGCCCCCCTTCGATCCTGGACCGGTGGAAGACTGTTCTGGGCCGGCTTCTCGCCGTCATGGACGGAGGAGGAGGAGACGCCCGTCTACCCAGCGAGAGACTGCTCACGTCCCGTCTGCCCAGCGAGAGACTGCTCACGTCCCGTCTGCCCAGCGAGAGACTGCTCACGTCCCGTCTGCCCAGCGAGAGACTGCTCACGTCCCGTCTGTCCAGTCTGAGACAGAGCCAGAGATCCCTTTTGGCGTGGCCGCCAAAGTTGTGACAGACTATCTGGAGCGTCTGACTCGGATCTTGGAGAGGCCGGTCTCTGCTATGCCTGTTCCTGAGCCGGAGGCAGAGCCAGTGCCTGTTCCTGAGCCGGAGGCAGAGGCAGAGCCAGTGCCTGTTCCGGAGCCGGAGGCAGAGCCTATGCCTGTTCCTGAGCCGGAGGCAGAGCCAGTGCCTGTTCCTGAGCCGGAGGCAGAGGCAGAGCCAGTGCCTGTTCCGGAGCCGGAGGCAGAGCCTATGCCTGTTCCTGAGCCGGAGGCAGAGCCAGTGCCTGTTCCTGAGCCGGAGGCAGAGCCAGTGCCTGTTCCTGAGCCGGAGGCAGAGCCAGTGCCTGTTCCAGAGCTAGAGCTCATGTCGGTGCCGGACCCAGTGTTTGTGTCTGTGTTTGTGTCTGTCTTTGTGACTGTTTCTGTTCTAGTGTCTGTTCCCGAGCCGGTGTCTGTTCCCGAAAGATCTGCTCCGCCCTGGCCGCCCGAGGGCTCTTCGCCACCCTGGCCGCCCGATGGACTATGTGTTTCGCCTTGGCCGGCCGATGGACTATGTGTTTCTCCCTCACCGCCCTATGGACTCTGTGTTTCTCCCTCACCGCCCTATGGACTCTGTGTTTCTCCCTCACCGCCCTATGGACTCTGTGTTTCTCCCTCATCGCCCTATGGACTCTGTGTTTCTCCCTCACCGCCCTATGGACTCTCTGTTTCGCCCTGGCCGCCCGATGTCCCTGTCCCGCCCTGGTCTGTCCCTCCCGTCCCGCCCTGGTCTGTCCCGCCCTGGTCTATCCCTTCAGTCCCTCCGATCAGTCCCTTCCGTTCCGCCTTGATGTTTCCTTCCTGCCCCGCCCTAGCCTGATGGAGCGTCTGGTAGCCGCTCCGTAGGGAGGGGGTTATGTCACATGCCTGTCCTGTCTTGTGTTGCACATGGGTGTTGTTATGTTGTGCCATGTGCTGTTGTGATTGTTGATCCCTCCTCCTCGTTACCTGATTAGTGTTTGAGTTGTTCCACCTGTTCCCTCTTGATTTGTTCTCTTTTTAAGTCTCCTCTTGTATGCAGTCTTTGTCGGTTCGTTGTCATACGTCTTCCCAGTTCCTTGTCGATGTTCATATGTTCAGAGTCAGTGTTGGTTTCATGTTCATTTATTATGTTTTCCCCCTCGTGGGTTTTTGATTTGTGTTTGTACTGTTTTTGTTATTAAATCCTCTTTGTTTTGCACTTGAGTTCTCTTCCTTGTTTTTGTACTTGTACCTGTGACACAATGAGATTAGTCAAAGACACATGGAGAAAGCAGATCAAGAGGACCCACAAAGGAAGTACGTTTTCTAAAGTGTTGTTGTTAACATGATATTTTCGGGGGGAAATGAGCAGCAGCACCTGTAGACTACAGTTAAGACTAACGTTAGAGGAGTGCACGTTCGCAACGGGGAACGCATGAAGCTTAACTTACTTGACAACATCAGTTCATATCAATATCGTAACGAATAGAAATAATGTATGGTTATCTGCATCTTTCCGTCTATTATGTATAGTTACTTTTTAAACACGAAAATCGCATTCAGCATGACACGCAAGCGGTTGCCGTGGTAATGAACAACCTGCTTGTTAAAGCGAATGAATAATCCTGTATCTGAGGCAAAATCAGATATATATTTCTATATATATATATATATCAGATATATATTCGAGTTATATATTTCTAACTCCAAACAATTAGCCACTGAAACAGCTTATAGAATCTTCTTCAAGGCTGTGCTGGTTGCATTTGAGGTAACGTTACAGGTCATGGGGTTTCTCAGATTTCGCTTGAGACCGGTTTGAGAGCTTGAGAGCATTATTAGCCTCGATAGTAGTCGTGTCTCCTTCATTGCGTATTTTTATATTTTGAATATATCCCTCCACTGCATACTGTAACCCCTTTTGCCTCGATCTGGAGGATATCGCGGAGGTTTTGCTCCAAAAAAGGTCACTGACGCACCTCTTCCCGTCATGGCAATCTGTGGCGCTGGTCGTGTTTGACCATTTGTTTGACGGGCGTAGCAACAATAACTAGGGGGCGTGGCTTTTGCGAATGGTCAATTGGGCATCGTTTAAATGCCACGGCCTACCTGAGCATTGTTTCTCCATCCCTTTATGGCCACCATGTACCCATCCTCTGATGGCTTCTTCCAGCAGGATAATGCACCATGTCACAAAGCTCCAATCATTTAAAATTGGTTTCTTGAACATGACAATGAGTTCACTGTACTAAAATGGCCCCCACAGTCACCAGATCTCAACCCAATAGAGCATCTTTGGGATGTGGTGGAACGGGAGCTTCGTGCCCTGGATGTGCATCCCACAAATCTCCATCAACTGCAAGATGCTATCCTATCAATATGGGCCAACATTTCTAAAGAATGCTTTCAGCACCTTGTTGAATCAATGCCACGTAGAATTAAGGCAGTTCTGAAGGCGAAAGGGGGTCAAACACAGTATTAGTATGGTGTTCCTAATAATCCTTTAGGTGAGTGTATATATATATATATATATAGATAGATAGATAGATAGATAGATAGATAGATAGATAGATATACTGTATAGATAGATATATACAGTGGGAAGAACAAGTATTTGATACACTGCCGATTTTGCAGGTTCTCCCACTTACAAAGCATGTAGAAGTCTGTAATTTTTATCATAGGTACTCTTCAACTGTGAGAGACGGAATCTAAAACAAAAATCCAGAAAATCACATTGTATGATTTTGGCTGGGATTGGCTACAGGACAATAGACGAGCAGCTCGGTGAGAAGGCAACAACAGTTGGCGCAATCATTAGAAAATGGAAGAAGTTCAAGATGGCGGTCAATCTCCCTCGGTCTGGGGCTCCATGCAAGATCTCACCTCATGGGGCATCAGTGATCATACAATGTGATTTTCTGGATTTTTGTTTTAGATTCCGTCTCTCACAGTTGAAGAGTACCTATGATAAAAATTACAGACTTCTACATGCTTTGTAAGTGGGAGAACCTGCAAAATCGGCAGTGTATCAAATACTTGTTCTCCCCACTGTATATAGATATACACTCACCGGCCACTTTATTAGGTACCCCATGCTAGTAACGGGTTGGACCCCCTTTTGCCTTCAGAACTGCCTCAATTCTTCGTGGCATAGATTCAACAAGGTGCTGGAAGCATTCCTCAGGGAGTTTGGTCCATATTGACATGATGGCATCACACAGTTGCCGCAGATTTGTCGGCTGCACATCCATGATGCGAATCTCCCGTTCCACCACATCCCAAAGATGCTCTATTGGGTTGAGATCTGGTGACTGTGGAGGCCATTTTAGTACAGTGAACTCATTGTCATGTTCAAGAAACCAATTTGAAATGATTAGAGCTTTGTGACATGGTGGAAGTAGCCATCAGAGGATGGGTACATGGTGGCCATAAAGGGATGGACATGGTCAGAAACAATGCTCAGGTAGGCCGTGGCATTTAAACGATGCCCAATTGGCACTAAGGGGCCTAAAGTGTGCCAGGAAAACATCCCCCACACCATTACACCACCACCACCAGCCTGCACAGTGGTAACAAGGCATGATGGTTCCATGTTCTCATTCTGTTTACGCCAAATTCTGACTCTAACATCTGAATGTCTCAACAGAAATCGAGACTCATCAGACCAGGCAACATTTTTCCAGTCTTCAACTGTTCAATTTTGGTGAGCTCTTGCAAATTGTAGCCTCTTTTTCCTATTTGTAGTGGAGATGAGTGGTACCCGGTGGAGTCTTCTGCTGTTGTAGCCCATCCGCCTCAAGGTTGTGCGTGTTGTGGCTTCACAAATGCTTTGCTGCATACCTCGGTTGTAACGAGTGGTTATTTCAGTCACTGTTGCCCTTCTATCAGCTCGAACCAGTCTGGCCATTCTCCTCTGACCTCTGGCATCAACAAGGCATTTCCGCCCACAGAACTGCCGCTCACTGGATGTTTTTTCTTTTTCGGACCATTCTCTGTAAACCCTAGAGATGGTTGTGCGTGAAAATCCCAGTAGATTAGCAGTTTCTGAAATACTCAGACCAGCCCTTCTGGCACCAACAATCATGCCACGTTCAAAGTCACTCAAATCAACTTTCTTCCCCATACTGATGCTCGGTTTGAACTGCAGGAGATTGTCTTGACCATGTCTACATGCCTAAATGCACTGAGTTGCCGCCATGTGATTGGCTGCTTAGAAATTAAGTGTTAACGAGCAGTTGGACAGGTGTACCTAATAAAGTGGCCGGTGAGTGTATATAGATAGATAGATACATAGATACATAGATAAATAGATAGATAGAGAGATATATAGATACATAGATAAATAGATATAGATAGATAGATAGATAGATAGATAGATAGATAGATAGATAGATAGATAGAAATATAGATACACAGATAGATAGATATACTGTATATATACATGGATGGATGGATGGATGGATGGATAGAGATATAGATACATACATAGATAGAGACATAGATAGATAGATATATATATACTGTATATATATATAGATGGATAGATAGATATACTGTATGGATGGATGGATGGATGGATAGATATACTGTATAGATACATGGATGGATGGATGGATAGATATACTGTATAGATACATAGATGGATGGATGGATGGATGGATGGATAGATATACTGTATAGATACATAGATGGATGGATGGATGGATAGATAGATATACTGTATAGATACATAGATGGATGGATGGATGGATAGATAGATATACTGTATAGATACATAGATGGATGGATGGATGGATAGATAGATAGATATACTGTATAGATACATAGATGGATGGATGGATGGATAGATACATAGATGGATGGATGGATGGATGGATGGATAGATAGATAGATATACTGTATAGATACATAGATGGATGGATGGATGGATAGATAGATATACTGTATAGATACATAGATGGATGGATGGATGGATGGATGGATGAATAGATATACTGTATAGATACATAGATGGATGGATGGATGGATGAATAGATATACTGTATAGATACATAGATGGATGGATGGATGGATGGATAGATAGATAGATATACTGTATAGATACATAGATGGATGGATGGATGGATAGATAGATATTCTGTATAGATACATAGATGGATGGATGGATGGATGGATGAATAGATATACTGTATAGATACATAGATGGATGGATGGATGGATGAATAGATATACTGTATAGATACATAGATGGATGGATGGATGGATGGATGGATAGATAGTTTCCCACAGACAAGGCGTGTCCTTACCAGCCGAAGCAGAAGATGAGGATCGCAGCGCCGAACACGACAGCGACCGTATGCCGAAGCTCAGCGGAGACTCGATGCGGCCCGAGAGCGAGCCGGAACCAGAACGCAACCGCTAGCCCGAACACCTGGCAGGCGATGAAATTCACCTGAAGAAGTGAGAAACAGCTCAGAATGGTTCATGTCTCTGTCCCACTATGTTTTCTTTATATGCTGCCCTTATGGTGCACAGTCTCTTTCACTGCTTCAGTGCCTTGCCAAAGTTTTCACACCCCTTCATTCTTCTTTTATATTATGGTATGTTGCAAGCCTTATGCTATTCTTAATTCCTTTTTCCCCACATCAATCTACACTCCACACCCTATAATCACGAAGCAAAAAACAGATTTGTGACAACTTTATTAATTAAAATATTCAAATACTTATTGTCTGTCACCTAGACTCTCCCCTGTGAAGCGGAGACCACGAAACACTGATCCTCCACACACTCGTCTCCACACCGGCTGATCCTCAACCAGAGGAACTGGAGAATATTCTGAATGTTCTGATCAATCTGACCTCTGACCTGTAATGCCTGGATCATTATCATAATCACACACTGTTGGCTCGTTGGCCAGAGGAACTGAGACGGAGTCTGGTTTCTCACGAGGGATTCTTCATTCTGTCCCTGATGGAGTTTCGGTTCCTTCACTGTCGCCTCTGGCTTTTGGCTGCTTAGGGACATTTAATATCCAATAATATTATTGATCTCCTGCGTTGACAGCATTATATGAGAACTGAGCTGAGCTGGACGACGACATCACGGTTTCTCCAGAGCGTCTATATATATATATATATATATATAAATGAACTAAATTAATAAAAAAAAAATACAACAGAAATGAACCATCACTGAATTTACTTATGCTGGACTGTGACGCTATTGTCTTCTAGATCTGCTGTACAGCAGAGATAAACTCGGTTGCAGTATTCTCCGGTTATCTCTGTAGAGCTGCTCTGAAACACTTTTGTGTTGTAAAAAGCGCTGTATAAATAAAGGTGACTTGACTTTTTTCCAAGATGGCGCCAGTGTGGTCGGCAAGCCGTCATCTGTTGTTTATGTCCTCTTTATTGAGTTTACTCGTTTTGTTTGTGTGTCTGTCCGCACAAAAAATTACCACAGCGCTTGTTTATGATCGTTTATTTCTCCTCAACATTCAAAGGACTATTGAAATTTTCTCAGACCCGAATCACGGGGGGTACAAGATTCCTGATCCACCTTTCTTGACCTCCCTGCCATCTGAAATATGTCGATTACCAGTCTGCGAACACCATCAGAGGAAGAAACGGTATAGAAGACGGGGAACACGTGGCGGTGTGTTGGTACGCGTGAGGAGGACCCTCCGTGCCTCGCCACGCGCAGGCCCGATTCACATGAATCTTGTGTGTTTGGCTTCCAGCTACGACCATGGCCGGGTTTTGTATTCTTCTAAGCACTGTCCTGATTTTGCCTACCTGGATCAACCACGATCAGTGCCATCGTCAAGAAGGCCGTCAAGACTACGCGTCTGCAGAAGAGGAGTGAATCTCTGCAATCTTCGTTCATTGGAATATTCATCGTTGCTGCAGCAACACGATTTTAAAGCACGCTACCGTCAAACCATACATCAGGAAACAGACTGCAATGAAGTGAAGATGGCGTTACTAAATGTAAGATCGATCTCAAACAAGACATTCACAATTAATGAACTTATTTTATCTCTTGGGCTCGACTTTCTATTTATAACTGAAACGTGGCTAAATGCCGGTGAACTTGGTCCACTCACTGAAGCTTGTCCTAAAGATTATACATTTTTTAATACAATACGGTCAGCTGGTCGCGGTGGGGGCTTAGCTACTATTTATAGAGATCAATTTAAATGCCGTCTATCTGCCACAGAACCGTTTTCCAGTTTTGAGGCACAGCTATTTAAGAAGGATGGCTGTAATTCAATTTTATGTATATTAGTTTATAGACCCCCAAAGTATAATAAGGATTTTATAAGTGAATTTTCTGACTTTTTATCTTCTGTTGTGCCAAATGCAGATAGGATTCTGATACTGGGCGATTTTAATATACATGTTTGTTGCCCTTCTAAACCTATGGTTAAAGAATTCTTACATATTATTGACAATTTTAATCTCACACAGTCTGTTCTTGGTCCTACTCATAAGCAAGGGCATACACTTGATTTGATCTTATCATATGGCTTTTCAGTCAGCAACGTAGTTGTCAAAGAATTTTTTATGTCTGATCATTTGATTATTTCTTTTAATATAGATGTTCCGAGCCCTGAACCACTCTATGTGCCGGTAGCCCGGTTTGCTCGTTCTTTTAACTCATCTACATCTGAAAAATTCCAGGATGCTTATATTAGTTCCCCAAAAACTCATGAAATTGAGTCAAACTGTCTTGGAGTAAAGCCAGATGAGTTAGTAAATATGTTTAATATGTTATGTTCAAATATACTGGACGTTGTTGCCCCGCTTAAATTGAAGAGAACTAGAATTTGTGTTCACCCTTGGCTTAATGATGAGGGTTATTAGACAAAAATGGAGAAGAGCAGAAAGGAAGTGGAAGAGGGACAAATTACAAATATCTTATGAATGCGTTAGAGACTGTATGATCCAATATCAAGAAGTTGCTAAGTTTGCAAAAGCAAAATATTTTTCAGAGCTTATTGCTAAAAATGCACACAGTCCAAAAATACTATTTAATACTATAAATAATGTGCTGAATCCGATTTCTAATTTATATCCTGATCCCTCTGCTACGGCCTGTGAAAACTTCCTTAAATTAATGTTATAAGATCATGCTTTTCCCATTCTCTTTTGGACCTACCGCAGTCTACATCGTTACAGATTTTTACAAATATATCAGAGTTTTCTCCAGTGTCTCATAGTCATTTGCAACACATTTTTCGACAAATGAAGTCTACCTTTTGCTCACTTGATGTTGTCCATCCTCGCCTTATGTCAGATATACTTGATTTTATTAGTCCGAGCCTATTGTCAATAATCAATAGTAGTTTGGTTAGTGGGATAGTTCCATCCTATTTTAAACATGCACTTGTGCAGCCGCTGCTCAAAAAGCCAAACTTAGATCCAAAAGTTTTGAATAATTACCGTCCCATCTCTAAATTACCATTTTTATCAAAAGTTTTGGAGAAGGTTGTGTTTAATCAGCTTTCTTCCTACCTAAAGGAATATGGTGTTTTGGATAAATATCAGTCTGGTTTCAGACCACAACACAGCACAGAGTCTGCACTACTTAAAGTTTTAAATGACTTATTTTTGATCGTCGACTCTGGTAAATGTGCTGTTTTAATTCTGCTGGATCTTAGCGCGGCATTTGACACTCTCGATCATGACATTCTTTTAAATCGTTTACAGCAAATAGGGATTCAAGGTTGTGCTTTGAATTGGTTTGCTTCATATTTAAAGGACCGAACCTTCTCAGTAGAGATAGGTAGTTTTTTATCACCTCGTGAACCAGTTAAATATGGGGTTCCGCAGGGCTCGATCCTGGGTCCTGTTTTATTTTCTTTATACATGCTTCCGCTGTATACTATTTTTAGTAAATATAATATATCTTACCATTGTTATGCAGACGATACTCAGTGTTACGTTCCTTTACACTCAAATGACGATTCTGGCTTAAAGTGTTTATTTGACTGTTTGAGGGACGTCAAACAGTGGATATCCGCCAACTTCCTTTAGTTAAATGAATCCAAGACGGAAGTTTTAATTTTTGGCTCATCTAAGTTTACAGAGTTGGTCGCCAGTAATTTGGGACCTTTAACTACAAATATCCATACACATGTTCGCAATCTGGGTGTTATTTTTGACTCAACTCTGACTTTTGATAAACAGATAAATGGTGTGGTCAGAAGTTGTTTTTATCAGTTAAAGAATATTGCAAAAATTAAGGCAATTTTAACACCCAGAGACATGGAATCTGTGATACATGCTTTTATTTCATCAAGGTTAGACTACTGTAATGTACTATACTTGGGTGTTTCACAGTCTTTACTGTCACGTCTTCAACTTGTCCAAAATGCTGCTGCAAGACTGTTAACAGGAACAAGGAAACGAGAGCATATTTCACCAGTTCTCTCTTCATTGGCTCCCAGTTAAACAACGTATTGAGTTTAAGGCGCTGTTGTTTGTCTATAAGGGATTGCATGGACTAGGTCCTTTATACATCTCGGATCTCCTTTCAACTCATCATAATGCTGTTAGAAATCTCAGGTCATCCAGTAGTCTACAGTTGACTGTTCCGAGGACTCGTTTAAAATTAAAAGGAGATCGGGCCTTTTCAGTGGCCGCCCCACAGCTTTGGAACAATCTGCCATTACACATAAAGTCTGCACCTACATACACTGATTTTAAATCATTGCTTAAAACTCATTTATTTATTGCTGTTTACGGTCATAAGCGGCTGTAGTGGTATTGCATTGTTTTGTGCTTTGTGTATTGTTTATTTGTTGTTCTATGTCTTATGGATACCTGTTTATACATTGTACAGCACTTTGGCCAACAGCTGTTGTTTTTAAATGTGCTTTATAAATAAACATGTCTGACTGACTGACTGACTTGGTACAAACTTAATTACATTGCAGAAGTATGAGATGAACATCAGTCTGGCGGGTAGTGTGTAGTGTAGTGTGTAGTGTGAAGTGTGTCGTGTGTAGTGTAGTGTGTAGTGTGAAGTGTGTCGTGTGTAGTGTAGTGTGTAGTGTGAAGTGTGTCGTGTGTAGTGTAGTGTGTAGTGTGTAGTGTAGTGTGTCGTGTGTAGTGTAGTGTGTCGTGTGTAGTGTGTCGTGTGTAGTGTGAAGTGTGTCGTGTGTAGTGTAGTGTAGTGTGTAGTGTGTAGTGTAGTGTGTCGTGTGTAGTGTAGTGTAGTGTGTAGTGTGTAGTGTAGTGTGTAGTGTGAAGTGTGAAGTGTGTAGTGTGTAGTGTAGTGTGTAGTGTGAAGTGTGTCGTGTGTAGTGTAGTGTGTAGTGTGTAGTGTAGTGTGTCGTGTGTAGTGTAGTGTGTAGTGTGAAGTGTGTCGTGTGTAGTGTAGTGTGTAGTGTGTAGTGTGTCGTGTGTAGTGTGTCGTGTGTAGTGTAGTGTAGTGTGTAGTGTAGTGTGTAGTGTAGTGTAGTGTGTAGTGTAGTGTGTCGTGTGTAGTGTAGTGTGTAGTGTAGTGTAGTGTAGTGTGTCGTGTGTAGTGTGTCGTGTGTAGTGTAGTGTGTAGTGTGAAGTGTGAAGTGTGTCGTGTGTAGTGTAGTGTGTAGTGTGTAGTGTGTCGTGTGTAGTGTGTCGTGTGTAGTGTAGTGTGTAGTGTAGTGTGTAGTGTAGTGTGTAGTGTAGTGTAGTGTGTAGTGTAGTGTGTAGTGTAGTGTGTAGTGTAGTGTCGTGTGTAGTGTAGTGTGTAGTGTAGTGTGTAGTGTGAAGTGTGTCGTGTGTAGTGTAGTGTGTAGTGTGTAGTGTAGTGTGTCGTGTGTCGTGTGTAGTGTAGTGTGTAGTGTAGTGTGTAGTGTGTCGTGTGTAGTGTAGTGTGTAGTGTAGTGTGTCGTGTGTAGTGTAGTGTGTAGTGTAGTGTCGTGTGTAGTGTGTAGTGTAGTGTCGTGTGTAGTGTCGTGTGTAGTGTAGTGTGTAGTGTAGTGTGTAGTGTAGTGTCGTGTGTAGTGTAGTGTAGTGTGTAGTGTAGTGTGTCATGTGTAGTGTAGTGTAGTGTGTCATGTGTAGTGTAGTGTAGTGTAGTGTGTAGTGTGTAGTGTAGTGTGTCTTATCTATTCATCCAGTCCATTAAACACAGTGTGTGGGCGCCATCTTGTGGACATTCATCATATCGCACTGGTTTTCATTTCGTGTCCTCAAACAGAGCACTAATCTGTTTATTCTAAAGTTACACATTCTACATCAGGGGTCTCAAACTCAGCTTAACTGGGGGCCGCTGGAGGGGGAGTCGGGGTCAGGCTGGGCCGCTGGAGGGGGAGTCGGGGTCAGGCTGGGCCGCTGGAGGGGGAGTCGGGGTCAGGCGGGGCCGCTGGAGGTGGAGTCGGGGTCAGGCGGGGCCGCTGGAGGGGGAGTCGGGGTCAGGCGGGGCCGCTGGAGGTGGAGTCGGGGTCAGGCGGGGCCGCTGGAGGTGGAGTCGGGGTCAGGCGGGGCCGCTGGAGGGGGAGTCGGGGTCAGGCGGGGCCGCTGGAGGGGGAGTCGGGGTCAGGCGGGGCCGCTGGAGGGGGAGTCTGGGTCAGGCGGGGCCGCTGGAGGTGGAGTCGGGGTCAGGCGGGGCCGCTGGAGGTGGAGTCGGGGTCAGGCGGGGCAGCTGGAGGTGGAGTCGGGGTCAGGCGGGGCCGCTGGAGGTGGAGTCGGGGTCAGGCGGGGCCGCTGGAGGTGGAGTCGGGGTCAGGCGGGGCCGCTGGAGGTGGAGTCGGGGTCAGGCGGGGCCGCTGGAGGTGGAGTCGGGGTCAGGCGGGGCCGCATCAAGTATTCCACAAAAAAATAGTATTCAAGTATTCCAAAAAAGGAGCACAACTGATCCAATCTTCTCAATATTTATTATTAACGTTTCTTCTGAACTGTTCCTCTGAATTTGAACATTCCTTTCTGTACATGATTGGTTCTTCATGAGCTGTCCTTCTGACAGTTGAAGTTCATTTTACAAACTTTCTTTGTCTTTTCCTTATACACAACATCTTTGTGATTCTATATTTGCTCATGTCCTTTTTATTTTCAATATGATATTGATTGTTTTTTTGGAAGGCACATTTCCTTTTATTATACTTAGAAAAACAATTATTGCTTTTGAAATACAAATATTTGCAGTCATGTCTGCCCGTCTTATTGAGTTCTTTCTACACATGTATAGTGTCTCAGGCAAATTACTGACTTTGCACAAATCAAAGCAAACCTTCTTATCAACCTGTAGGACACATATTACAAGCTCAAAATGATTATTCTCACATTGTTTTAGAGCAGGGGTCTCCAACACGTCGCTCGCGAGCTGCCAGTAGCCCGTGGCCTGATTGGTGTTAGCTCGTCAAGGGGCCGTTCACATATCGCGCTCACATATTTTGCGCGCTCAAGTTCATTATTTCAAATGTAGGCGCGCGGCAAGCGCGCTCATAATTGAAGCGACGCGCTCATTTTTTCCAGGCGCAGTATGTTTGTACTTCGCAGTTGTCTATGACAACTATTGACAACAAACCCACCCGTAAGCTGTCACGAGACTATCTATGGTAGCCCATAAAGGATAAGAAAAAAAAACGCGACACACGCAACGATGGGCCGCACTAACATTAAACTTTAAAGTCAAGTAGGGAGCCACAAAATATCACCCCGCGGGCCGCGAGTTTGAGACCACTGTTCTACACTGATTAAAAAATAAAATAAAATGTCTTTTTTAGGGCTGGGCAAGTTAACGCGTTATTATCGCGTTATTATCGCGTTAACGCATTTATTAATTAATGGCGGGCGCGGGCGCGTGCGTGAGGCGAGCTTGACCGCAACAGTCTCACAGAAACGCACCCGCTTGTCGCTGCACCTGTGCTCGACCACTTCACCTCACTCTAGGCTGATTTATAATGCGTCGGACCTACGCCGGAGCCTCTACGCTATAGACTACGCGTTGGTTTTTATTACTTCTGGGTCGTTGTCCCCCTTGACGCGCAACACACATGCAGAGGGAGCATGCATGTGAAACCCGGGGAGCGGTTCTAGCAATCACAGCGCTTGCGGTACGCGTAGAATTGACGCATTGTTACATTTTTGGAGAGGTGCACGTCAGGATACGCAGCTACACACAGCAGGTACACAGCTACGGCGTGAGTTCGACGCAGAAGTATAAATTGGGCTTTACATCTGTTTAATGTAATCTTAGTGTACGTGGGAAACCATGTCATGACCAAATCTAAGATAGATCAGCGAAGTAACGTTGGTCGACTTATATCTGTAGTAGTGGTCATGACCTCTGACTACATGACTCTTTACTGATGAAAGACACCTGTTGATACCTGTTCAGGAAAAAAACAAGAAAACTGGACTCGTTTTAACAAGCTAGATAAAAGGTAATGCCCTGGCAGTGGCATAGCTTTGTTTTAATATTCGATTTGATTACGTTAATGTTTAAGTTGAGATTTACAATAAATATTGTATTGCTGTGTAAAGGGAATACTGCTGGTATAAAGCAGCTTATTTGTTTAAAGTTTTTGCAAACCACATGTTATTGCACTTTTGTGTACATATAGCAGTACATTTAAATCAAAAGTGCGCAATACACTACTTTGGAATTCATTATTCACTCTTGCGCGTAACAATGCGATAAAAAATTTAAGCGTTCCCCAGCACTAGTCTTTTTTAATGTTAGTTTTATTTTATTCAGAAATAAATTATTTATAATTCAGATGAGAATAAAGTTATTGTTAATTAAAATTAAGAAAAACAACTATATTGATCTGAAATATAGCAAATTAATTTTAAATTAATTCAGGTACAAATACCAAACATATCTCAAGGTATTTTTGTCTTTTTATTAATTTAATTAATAAACTAATTATATAAAACTATTGTCAATGCACTACAAATAAACTGGTTCTATGCCTTTACTTTATTAATAAAACGTATTTAAAAAATACAAGGCTTAAGACATATTCCTTTAATCCAAAATATGTGTAATTTTCACCCCACAAACACATTCATCAGCGAGAAACTCCAGAATGTGCTGGAACTGGAGAGAAACATGCGAGACCAGTTCTCCTACACCGTGAATATCGTTTCTTTGATAGTTATCTGAGATACAAGTTTTATATGCTACGTGTTACTGGTCTGGCAAAGACCACTCTTAATGACTGTTTACTTTATAACCCCAGATTTAAAAGTGTCGTCATAGCTCGATGTGTTCCGAGTCCTGCCAGCTTTACCTGATCCAGAGGAACGCCGACCCGCTCGCTGACCGGACTCAACCAGGAGCACCCAGTGGTTCTAAACGCGGTGTCCGTGTTCTCCTCCTCATTCTGCATGGTGTAGATCAGTGTATCCCAGTATCCCAGTATCACCTCACACACATCGACCATCGACGGCCAAACATCCCGGGTGAGAGAGTCGTGTATCAGAACTCCAGCATGATGAACACACGAGCTAACACTGTGTAAAGTTGCGTGTGTTGAAGTGACAGAAGGCGTGGCTGGAGCTGTCAGTCAGCTGTGTGTGTGTGTGTGTGTGTGTGTGTGTGTGTGTGTGTGTGTGTGTGTGTGTGTGTGTGTGTGTGTTACTCGACAGCTCGCTTGAGATGCACTAAAGCAGTCGGTCGAGACTCGAGAGTGAGTCACTTCTCAGCAACGAGATATCACGTGTTTCACACTCACGCGCTTTGTATGTTAGTACATTGGATACAATCTAATTCAATGCTTTTATTTAAATATTTACCGGCTATTTAATTTCTAGTTTTTTGTTTTGTTTTGATTTTTAAATAGGCTAATGAATAATTACAATAATATGCAGCGTCAATCCCGTGTGGACGATCAGCGATCCAAATGAAATGAATCTGATGTGGTTTTTACAGCAAAGTCTATCTTGAATCTTCCCTGAATCTTATAGTTTAATGAAACAGGTTTGAGCAACACACACACACACACACACACACGTGTCAAAAGAGGCACGTGAAGAGATCCTCTTGCTCTACTGTAGGCGTGTGATCATCTGTTTGGCTGAACTCTATAACTCGAGGTCAGGGTTACAGGGTTAGTTTCCAGTGTACCACACCAAACCGATCAAGCTTTGCTGGGACCAGGGCGGGTCTGATCCTCCATTATACCCAGGATACTCCATTTTTTGTGATAGTACACAATATTTAAAAATAAACAATCCATTAGTTACATGTGCGAACATCTAGATATATTGTGCGGTTGTATTTTTCTTTTATGGTTCTTCTCCACTCATTCAAGCTATGCCAAAATCACCGTAATCACATCCAGGTCCTTATTCCGAGATGCTTTCCGAAGCTTTTGCACACCTCATGTCTGATCGCTTCTCAAGGAGCAGAAGATCTGCTTTATAATCTCACTCCAGTCTCCAGTTAAACCACTGAAACATCAGTGCACGGTCGTAGAAAGCTTGGAAATATCAGAGCATTTTAAAATTGTGATTTCCAGGCCTTAGAAAATCATAGAAATAAATAAAATAAAAACGTAAAAAATGTATGGACTATAGTAAAATATGGAATAGTTTTGCTCAGTTTCGGTCAGCTTTAAAATATTTATCAGCATATTGCACTCTCTGGTAGCCTAGTAACACCATGCAGAATCTGCAAAATATTAATCATTTTAAAAAAGAGAGAGATTATAAATTGGATGTTGTGTCATTGCCTAGATGATCCACGGCTGTTTTTATGAATTTGTTTTTTTTTATGATAAGTCGCATGTTTGTCCTGTTCTGCCCACAGTTCCCAGAAGATCCAGCTCCTGCACAGCATCTTCTGCTTATTGAACCCTTTCCAACAGTGACTGCATGATTCCTGAGATCCGTATTTTGCCCTCATACTGAGGGACTCATACACAACTATCACACACTCACTGATGCTCCAGAAGGGAAACACAATGCATTAAAAATCAGGGGGTGTAAACATTTGCACATCGTTTTAATTTTGTCTTCTGGGGAATGTGTACGGATTGTATGTAGCTGCTGAAGGGTAGTACTAATAATATGATCTTTAAATAAAACAAGCAATTTCCAGCAGTCATCCTGTTCAAAAGTGTACACCCCGGCAGTGTGTGGTGTTGCATTGAGCATCAGTGGGTGTGTGTGGCGTTCATCATCCAGGCAACAACACACACTATTAACAAACAAGCTTATGCAAACTTTTGAACAGGATCTTTTGTGGAAATTCAGTTATTACTATGTCTTGTAAAACCTAAAATTCATGTCAAAACCCTTTTTTTTTAAACAACAGTACTAAATAAACACAAAATGCATATTTATAATCCCTCCTTTTTAAAGTTTTATCATTTAGCAGATTCTGCCAGGCTGACTCAACTGTAGCCTTCATACATGTACAGTTCCTCTCAAACTACTTTTGGTGTAATAAACAATCCTAAAGTTTCTTTTCCTTGAAAGACACGAAATATGATTAGAAATCAAAGTGAATAAATCAAATCAAGTGTGACCAACACTGTAAAATAATGCTTTTAAGAATTTTAACAGATTTACCCAGCAAGAAGAAAGGAGCTGGGTAAATAGTCAGATGATTTTGTTATCATTTGTAGTGAATTTTAATGTGGAGTAGAAACAGGGGGAGTGACTTTATTGACATGTGACACTTTGCTCACGGCTGATTGGTCCACTTCAGGTCTGAGATCTACCTGGAACATCACCTGACCCGGAGCGCGAGTTACTATGGCGACGGACATGCTAAAAGCCACACTGGCCACACTAAGCTGGAGCCAGAGGAGGGTAGAAACGACATACATCTTTAGGGAAAATTTGTACTTTTCAGAGTAGATGTAAAGACGCAACAATACTTAAACTCGAGAACATTCCTAATGAAAACACTGTACTTTTACTTTGTTACGCTGGGCGACATTCCTTGTCTTACTTTATTTTAATGCAATACAAGCGCGCAGTCTCTTTTTTTCTCCATTTACAAATGAATCACTCTTTTGAGGCGATTCTGTTCAAAGACTTGATCAAACAAGTTGACAAAACTGTTTTGTGAATTAGTTTGAATGATTTGTTCGGTTTTCCTGCGCGCACTGAATCGCGACCGGAGATTTAAGAACACGAAGAGCGTTGGATGAAGTGGCCGTGGATCTGCGAAAGCATCGCAGCGATGACGATCTTTATTAGTTGAACATCTGCGTTTGCGGTCCGTCTATATAGGTTTAGCTTCATTTGATCTGATTTCATACAGCTAATACATTTTGGAAATAATACTTAATTATACATTAATACGCGACTCTTGTTCACAGTCTGAAATGAACACCGCAGTGATTTGTGGGTATAGCGCAGTGGCGGCGACTGTTTGTCTGGAAAACAAACGCCTTTGCTTAGACACAGTTCTCCAGTTTGCAGAAATGTACATTTGATAGCCTTTGGACAACAGACAGAAGAAGATCCGCTAATGTGCGTTTGATCGTAGTGTGTTCAGATGTTCAGTAGCGGTCATGAGCGCGAGCACATGTGAAGAGTTTAACTCTTTCTTCTCCGTGTCAACGCAAAACTCTGCAGATTCACTTCATTTTGACATTGTCTAATAATTCGAATGTAGCGTTATTATTATACAAACCAAACGACATGCAATGATATTTTTGGGGCTACAGATGAAATGCCAGAAATAATGCTTGTCTCTTCTGTGTTTGTTGCAAAGACATCTACTTATGATAATATAGTCATATAAATAAATTATATATTATCTATGTAAATAATAAAAAAAGGGATAGAGACTGGACCAGTATAGGATGAATGAATGAACGAACGGACGGACGGACGGAACGAACGAACGAACGAACGAACGAACGAACGAACGAACGAACGAAAAAGCGCTTTCATATGTACTACTGTACACCCAAAGCGCTTTACAATCATATCAGTGGTTCTCTCCTCAACCAGCACCAGTGTGCAGCTCCACTTGGATGATGCGACGGCAGCCACAGTACAACGGCGCCAGTGCGCTCACCGCACACCAGCTATAGGTGGGGAGGAGAGAGAGTGATAGAGCCAATTCAGTGGATGGGGATTATTAGGAGGCCATGATTGGCAAGGGGCCAATGGGTGGAATGTGGCCAGGACACCGGGGTTACACCTCTACTCTTTACGAGAAGTGCCATGGGATTTTTAATGACCACAGAGAGTCAGGGCCTCAGTTAACGTCTCATCCGAAGGACAGGCCCAGTGTGCAGAGGCTGGACAACAGCACAGGCCCAGTGTGCAGAGACTGAACCACAGCACAGGCCCAGTGTGCAGAGACTGGACCACAGCACAGGCCCAGTGTGCAGAGGCTGGACAACAGCACAGGCCCAGTGTGCAGAGACTGAACCACAGCACAGGCCCAGTGTGCAGAGACTGGACCACAGCACAGGCCCAGTGTGCAGAGACTGGACCACAGCACAGGCCCAGTGTACAGAGGCTGGACCACAGCACAGGCCCAGTGTGCAGAGACTGGACCACAGCACAGGCCCAGTGTGCAGAGACTGGACCACAGCACAGGCCCAGTGTGCAGAGGCTGGACCACAGCACAGGCCCAGTGTACAGAGACTGGACCACAGCACAGGCCCAGTGTGCAGAGACTGGACCACAGCACAGGCCCAGTGGACAGAGGCTGGACCACAGCACAGGCCCAGTGTGCAGAGGCTGGACCACAGCACAGGCCCAGTGTGCAGACACTGAACCACAGCACAGGCCCAGTGTACAGAGACTGAACCACAGCACAGGCCCAGTGTGCAGAGGCTGGACCACAGCACAGGCCCAGTGTGCAGAGACTGGACCACAGCACAGGCCCAGTGTGCAGAGGCTGGACAACAGCACAGGCCCAGTGTGCAGAGACTGAACCACAGCACAGGCCCAGTGTGCAGAGACTGGACCACAGCACAGGCCCAGTGTGCAGAGACTGGACCACAGCACAGGCCCAGTGTACAGAGGCTGGACCACAGCACAGGCCCAGTGTGCAGAGACTGGACCACAGCACAGGCCCAGTGTGCAGAGACTGGACCACAGCACAGGCCCAGTGTGCAGAGGCTGGACAACAGCACAGGCCCAGTGTGCAGAGACTGAACCACAGCACAGGCCCAGTGTGCAGAGACTGGACCACAGCACAGGCCCAGTGTGCAGAGACTGGACCACAGCACAGGCCCAGTGTACAGAGGCTGGACCACAGCACAGGCCCAGTGTGCAGAGACTGGACCACAGCACAGGCCCAGTGTGCAGAGACTGGACCACAGCACAGGCCCAGTGTGCAGAGGCTGGACCACAGCACAGGCCCAGTGTACAGAGACTGGACCACAGCACAGGCCCAGTGTGCAGAGACTGGACCACAGCACAGGCCCAGTGGACAGAGGCTGGACCACAGCACAGGCCCAGTGTGCAGAGGCTGGACCACAGCACAGGCCCAGTGTGCAGACACTGAACCACAGCACAGGCCCAGTGTACAGAGACTGAACCACAGCACAGGCCCAGTGTGCAGAGGCTGGACCACAGCACAGGCCCAGTGTGCAGAGACTGGACCACAGCACAGGC